AAAATGAAGTCACTAAAAAGTTGTATGCCTCGAGCGAAATCTCGGCAAGGCTATAAAGCCCACGACTATAAAAGTCGACTCAAACAACAAAAGTTGTATGCCTCGAGCGAAATCTCGGCAAGGCTATAAAGCCCACGACTATAAAATTCGACTCAAACAACAAAAGTTGTATGCCTCAAAGCGAAATCTCGGCAAGGCTATAAAGCTCACGACTATAAAAGTCGACTCAAGCAACAAAAGTTGCATGCCTCGAGCGAAATCTCGGTAAGGCTATAAAGCCCACGACTATAAAGTCGACTCAAGCAACAAAAGTTGCATGCCTCGAGCGAAATCTCGGCAAGGCTATAAAGCCCGCGACTATAAAAGTCAGCTCAAAAAACAAGTTGTCTCATATAACCCGTCAACGGCTGCAAAAGCACTTTAACAACAAAATGTGTGAACAAAAGAAATGTCGACAAATCTACAATCGCGTAGTTACAAGTAAAAACTCGAGGAATGCATGAACACAACGTTGCAGGAACGTAACGACTTAAGGCAAAGATAAAATAAGGAGTAATATTTAAAAAGATTCATTACAAGAGTCGTCTCAACCTTTACAAATTGGAAAATTAGGTTGACCAGAACAGAATAAGAATAAACGACAAATAGAAGGCAATAAGCCTCGAAAGTACAACTAAGTTATGACATCTTCGTCGCTCTCCTCGAGGATGGTCACGACCTGATCACCATCACTGGGCCCGACAAGATGGATGGGGGAAGGCAGGGGAGCATCCAATTGATAGGTGAGCTTAGCCTCTCGAACAACTTTCGCCTCGAGACCCATCCACCAGGGGTAGTCGTCCGGAAGGGACGGATCGCCTTCATAACCGTCGGGGTCGGGAAGCGCACGCTTCATGGCCTCCCGGTCGAGTTTCCCAGCAAACTCAGATCCCGCCACTACAGCCTCCCAAACGTCGAAGGCATAGTCGAAATATTGAACGGCGGCAGGGCAGAGCTTGTCGAGGAACTCAGGAGAATTGCAGAAAGCCTTGACGACTTCCTTACGATACTCACGGACAAAGGCAGCGCCTATGCCAGTCCTCAAGAATGACTTTCGGCCCTGAACAATGCCGATGTCTACCTCATACATGTTCGCCTCCTGAGCCTTCTCAAGATCGGCTTGGAGCTTCTCGTTGTCATGCAGGGAAACGACTTTGTCGGCTTTTAGCTTGTCGACCAAGGCCTTTGACCCCTCCAGCTCTTTCTTTAACTGAGCAATCTCCCTGAGCTGCGCCTCGCATTTGTCCTCGAGGGCCTTAGTAGAGGAAGAGGGGGGTCGAGTACCGGCCTTGAGGCCAGGGAGAGCGGCCGCTAAGAACTGAAAAAAAAAACACAAAACAAAAGTACGTAAATAATGAGCACAAGCATACACAAACATGAACGACTTAGCTAAGAACAGAACACATACCCAGGTAAGGCATTGAGTGGCGTAACAAGAACGCTCGTAGTCGTTCCCCTCGACACGAGCCTTGTCGGCCTCAGGAAGCAAGGAATGGAGGTAGTCTGCCACCTCATGCGGATCCGGGTGGTTCCAGAGCCGGGAAGGCATCCGAATCGTCACGTCCTTGTAAGTAACGGACGATTCCGTCTGTTTAGACGTAGTATTCTCTTCGACCACCTTCTCCTTACCCTTGTCGACCTTACGACGCTTAGGGTCGCCAGGGATTAGGGGAGGGGTGCGGTCGTCCTGAGGTCTCTTGCGGGTGCTGGGACCCGAGGGCTTGCGCCTCCGACCTAGGGCAGCCGACTGCGTGCCGGATCTGCCGGGTGGAACAGGAGCACTGGGCTGTTTCTTCACTCCGAAACGTTTAAGAGCTTTGACTGAAAACAAAAGGGGCGAAGGTTAAAAAAAAAACACACAGACGCGACACTACGAGGAATATTAAGCAGCTTACGGGGATCATCGAGGCGAGAGATATCGTGATATAGAACGATTCGGGCATGATTGACCAATTCACGGTCTTTTGTTATGCGTCGAGCGCTATAGATACACCTATTCAACTCCTCTAAAAATCTTTCGAAGTCCTCGGATCGAGACCGTTTATTTTGTTTAACTTTGGTACTTATCCAATTATTTGTATAAGGATAAGCACCGACGGGAGGTCGGATGAAAACAAATTTCGACTTCCACTCTGGGATATTTGAAGAAAGATCATCAAGGAAGGTAACGCCGGGACGACGTATTAAACAATGGGCCCCCTTTTGAAGTCGATAGCTATAACAATAATGAAAAAATTCGGCCGAGAAAAAATGAAGAACTATACGAGAAACGACGATAAAAGCTATCATGATACAAAGAGCATTTGGAGAAAACTGATTTATTGGGATTTTATACAAGTCGCTTATCTCCAAAAGCTCGGCTTGTATAGGGAAGCGTAGACCGAAAATGACTTGGTCGACAAAGAAAGTATGGCAACCCTCGGGAGGACAGGCGAAGTCACTATCGGGACCCGGAGCAACCAACTCCCAATCGGAGAGAAGCCCGCTAAACTGCCGGAAACTCTCGACCTGACCCGTAGAGGCATAGGAAAAGGGGTTCAAGGTGGCCAATTTGGCCAAAGTACAGGCTACTGAAACAGACTTCCGAGGGTCGAGGGGAGTAACTAAAGATACCGGTACAGGACTGGTACTATACACGGGAATATCTAACAAACTAATAGGAATAACTCAAGGAATCAAGTCGAGGCGAGGAGAGCCTTCCTGAGGACTCCTCATTATTTCTACAAAACCACCATCCAACAGGGCCTGATCATATTCAGCCCAGTCGACTTTTAGGGTGGAAGCACGCGATGAGGAGGAAGGAGGAGAAACGTGGGCCGTCCTATAACCAGTTACTTCAACTGAACCCGAGTCAGATTGGTCGAGGCCCTTATCAATCAGTCTGT